CAAACGGCGGGGGGGGGGGCCGGTGTTTTCCGGGGAACCCCCGGCCACAAAAGGGGGGGGGGGGGGGGGGGACGGCTGCTGGGCTAAGTTCTGAGGGGTCTGCTCGGGAGCTGATCCCCGCGTTTGGGTCATGCTGCGGTATATGTGGGCAGCGTAGGCCCAGCCGCATGGGCTGGGTTCCCGTGCAGGAAGTTAGGGAGGCAACCTGGTCGGCATCACCCGCCAGGGAGAGCCAGACAGTCGGCTGTGGGGAGCTACACGCACCCATAGGCTGGCGCTCCACGTCTCTACATCTGTAAGGAATCAGTGTCCTCAGCTCTATTCATTTTTTTCTTTTTCTTGTTAAGCCGGACTATGTTATATTGTGTCCCCCCCTTCCCTTGGCGTGGCTTTGCGATGGTATGTATAAAACTCGTAGCACACGTCCTGGAAGTATTGAGCGTCCGATCGGCGCCAGTTATTTTTTCTCTAAGTCGTTTCACTGGAGTTTCTCCATCTTCATCACCTTCGTCCTTCATCGTGCATATGATGGAAAAATCTTAATCTCCTGAGACTTGTGATGTCTTCAAAGGAACCACTGATGCACGTGTGGCCAGGGGGGCCCACTACAGGTCTTGAGGCCGGAAGTGAACGATTTGTAAATCCCGCACCCTCGTTTTCTTTCCTTCTCTCCCAGCTCCTGCCCCTGCCAAAGCCGAAGCTAAAGCAAAGGCTTTGAAGGCCAAGAAGGCAGTGCTGAAAGGTGTCCAAAGCCACAAAAAGAAGAAGATCCGCACATCACCCACCTTCCGGCGGCCCAAGACACTGCGGCTCCGGAGGCAACCCAAATATCCTCGGAAGAGCGCCCCCAGGAGAAACAAGTTAGTACTGCCCCTGTACCCCTGAAAAGTTTGGGTATCCTCTCCAGTGGGAATTTACCCAGCCTAGAGCATGACTTCTCAAACACGCATGGGTACCCAGTGAGCTTTTCTTTTGGTGGGCGGTGTGGGGCGGCTGGCCGGTATGGGGATCTGAACCCTTGACTTTGCTGTTATCAGCACTATGTTCCAAGTGAGCTAACCGGCCAGCTCTCTCAGTGTGCTTCTCTAATGGGAGTATGAAGAGATTGTTTCTGTCCTCTTTAAGAACAAGAGACGTTTTTACAATATTGGCATGAATTGTGTTTAAATCAACCCAGACTCTCAAATTTTCTGTTATTGTTTCATATGTAGTTAGGATTTGAAAGTCCACTCTATTGGGACTATATAGTAACTAACCTTGTAGTTCCTTCCTCATGGCTTCTGATGCTGTAGAGAACAGTCCTTGGATAAGGATATGTGTGTGTTGATTCTTGATTGATAATGAGGATTCAGTTATCTGTACTAGGTGGTCGTAGCCTGCAACAATTTAAAGAGGCTTCTTTTCATTCTCTCTTCCAAGTTTTCATACTGTTCAAGGAATGGTTAGGGGGAAAATGGGCAAAAGGTTTGGGCACTTTGGTATTTTGCCGTCAAACTGCTGGTAATAATTGACTTTTCTTTAGGGAGGGCAGATTAGAGTAAATTATGGTAGTAGTTGCTACCAGTGGGTTTCTGCTGCTCCCAGTGTTTCCTAAGAAAAGGTAGAGTGAGTTGTGTCCATGGAGGAAAGCAGGACACACCCCCCCCCCCCCCCCCCCCCCGCGCCTCCCTTGGACACTAGAATTCATTGCAATAAGAGGTAGAATCCAGACCTAGCTTCAAAACAGTAAAGTTGTGCCTGGGTGAGTAGAGCCTGGCTTCTCTGAATTTCAGGGGCAAAACTGCTCTAGCTGCACTTAAGCTACTATAAGTGTAACCTGAACTGTAAGTAAAAAGTTGCTCTCAAGAATTCATGGCCTTTGAGCAGAGAGCAATCAAAGGGAGCAGAAATGTTTGATCCAACCTCATAGTGATGTACAAACATGGAAGTCTAGCAAATGAAAGAGTTTAAATCAAAGATGATTCTTAGGGCCGGCCCGTGGCTCACTTGGGAGAGTGTGGTGCTGATAACACCAAGGCCACGGGTTCGGATCCCTATATAGGGATGGCCGGTTAGCTCACATGGGAGAGCGTGGTGCTGACAACACCAACTCAAGGGTTAAGATCCCCTTACTGGTTTTCTTTAAAAAAAGATGATTCTTAAATCACTTAAAGGATGAGAGCCCTTCAAGTGAAAGAAAATGTACAAGAGTTCTGACCCTCTGCTGGGGTGTAGGCCCCTAGATTTCAGGGTGCAGATGATGACATTGTTCAGCGACCAAAGTTTGACAAAAAATGATTTGCTACCTTATTGTCTGATGCACCTAGGGTCTTCTGGCCTTGGGCTCCAAAAGAGGGCCTATCCTTTCTTCTGGGCCCAGGCCAGGTGATGACCCCATTCTGCCTCTACCCCAGGCTTGACCACTATGCCATCATCAAGTTCCCCCTGACCACTGAGTCTGCCATGAAGAAAATAGAAGACAACAACACACTTGTGTTCATTGTGGATGTCAAGGCCAATAAGCACCAGATCAAACAGGCTGTGAAGAAGCTCTATGACATTGATGTGGCAAAGGTCAACACCCTGATCAGGTGAGAGGATGATGAGGAGGCTGGGAGAACCTGTCTGGCATAAAGTTGCTGATGCTGACCTTGGGGACAGAAGTAGGTTCACAATGTGCAAACCTCGAGAACTGAACAGCCCTGCTGTAATTAATAGTCCGTTATATGGAGGACCCATAGAAACTGTCCTAGTACTTAATTTATGGAGTTGGTGCTCATTTTCTGGATCTCTGCCTCTGTTGGCAGAGGTAGGCATTAAAGTAAGGCAGTTGATGTCAGATTATCTGGATTTAAGTGTTAAAATGCCTTGTAGCCTGTGGTGTTTCTCATAAAAAGGGAATTGGCTTTTTTTGCAGCTTTGTAGCTTATTAGCTTTCTCTGTGCAAATGATGGACACATCACTATTTGGAAAAGAATGACATGAACAAAGGAACCACTGATGCACCAGAGGACTGGGAGAGGGAGGGGATGGGGGCAGTGAGAGCAGCAACTAAGGCTTCCTTCTCCACTGTAGGCCTGATGGAGAGAAGAAGGCATATGTTCGACTGGCTCCTGATTATGATGCTCTGGATGTTGCCAACAAAGTAAGCTTCCTTCCCTACCAGCTCCTAAAACCCACCCTCTGGGTGCAAGTGATGCATCTGTTAGTGACCAAAGCCTGACTTTTGCTGATTAGTCAGCTGACTGACTGCACCCCTATTCTTAACAAGCCCTGCCCTCATGTTCCTTCATTTTGCTTTTTAATCATGACATTCCAGCTTAATCTTCACATTGCAGCTCCAGTAACAAAACTTCCTTTTGTTTTTCAGATTGGGATCATCTAAACTTGAGTCCAGATGGTTAATTCCAAATATACAACTTTTTTCACCATATATATGCTTCCTGTCTTTATGTCAATTTCTGGTTGGCTGGGGGGAGGCCATACTGTGCTGTGCGCAGAGGTAACAGGGCTTGGGTAAAGCTCTTGATCTACTTACCCTGCTGGAACACTTAGGTCCTATCATTCCACCATACTTGTTAAAACCCCTCATGGTAGGAGCTCGGGTACCAGAGATACTTGTGACTCAGACTGGGATTAGTTTGTCCTAGGACAACTAGATCTTGCTTCCATTAGGAGTGAGAGAACAAGAAGCTTTACAAGAACCTCTTCCTTTATCCCTGGAAGAGGCTGTGTACAGTACCCAGAGTTTGAGGGAGAGGAAGTATAATTTGAGTTTTCATTAGCATCTGTTTCAAGGCAGTGTAGGTTTGCTGGTTTTGGGTAGCACCTTGCCCTCAGACACCCATCTACCATGTCCAACCGGTCTGCCTGCTTCCCACACCCTTGCCCCAGAAAGGACAAGGACTTCAGAGGAGTACTTTCATTAGTGTTTTCAATAGGGTGGGTGCAGGCTCAGAAGGTGGAGAGGCTGGCCCCAGAGGACACCCAGGCTTGGGGCTCAGTCCCAGCTGATGTGTGAGGCTGTTTCCGTTCTCCTTGGCGGTGTTTGTTGTCCTTGTCAGGAGTCCCAGGCTCTGTGCCTCTCACTCGGTCAAGAATTTGTTTTTGAGTTGCTGGCTGGGGACACGCTCAGGGCAGAAGTCAGAGCGGAGGAGGCGAGAAAAGTAGATAAGGATCATGATGTCCAGCATGAGCAGGATACCCAGCAGAAAGGTGCCCAGGGTCCTCTGGCCAGCATAACGTAAGAAGAAATGGGTGAGGTAGGCCTGGGGGGCCAGGCGGAAGAGAAAGTACATGACCAAGTTGACATACTTGTTGACCCGGTAGAGGAGGTGGTCCTGGGCATTGTTGATCTTCATCATCATGCGTATAGTGAGGAAGATGTTACTGACCTCCACCAGTAGTGTTAGGACACCCCCACCAACAAAGCTGCTCCAAAATATGCCTGAGAAGAAGGCACCCATGGCCTAGAGGACAAAGAACAGGGGTTAGGGAACCTGGAGGTTGGTGGGAGTATCAGACCAACAGATTGAGGGCTGCAAAGGCCTCCCCAGTCTGTTCTGGAATGGTAGTCTACCGTGGATAAGATGCTTTTTTTCATCCAACATGATTAGATTTTGATGGCTCTGGGTAGTGGTTCCAGTCTAAGGAGGTAGTAGGTGAGGTTGTGGGTTGCTGGTCTCAGTGAACAAAGGCACAAAGACAGTGCCAACAATCAGCATCCTAGCATAAGAAGTAGGACACGGGTGGGAACTGGGGTTAAGAAAAGGTGGCTGCCTCCCAGGTTGAGAAAGCTGAGGTTTAGACTAGGCTGCTAGCATCAGGCCTTATACCACATCACCTGCTTCTTACCATGACATGATGGACAAGGTATTCCCAAGAAGCTCGTGCCTGATAACTAACCACGATGTCCACCGTGTCGTGGATGAAATACCCTAGTAGAGGGATGGGGAAAGAGGTCAAGGGGACTGAACAAGAAGCTTCCTTCCCCCGTCCCCCCACTTACCTCACGCTTCCTCAGCAAGACCTACCTGCTGAGAAACAAACGAGCAAATAGCCAGAAAGCGACCATGCCGTTTCAATCTCCAGCAGCATTTCGGGGGTCTGCCATACACTAGAAGGGAGGGAAGAAAGGAGGCTCCCTTCATTTCGTCACCTCTAAGGACTCCCACCTCCCGCATTACTCCTGCCAGTCCGGGGGGACTCGACTTGCGCTATTGGCTGACTGCGGAGAGGAGGGGCTTGGCTGAAACCCAGGTGCCTCCGGTTTCCCAGGTGAGATCCCCCTCCCCTGGGGCCGCTGCCGCTTCCGATTGGATAAGATTCCACGCTGGGAATCAGGTGAGACTGCAAGGCCCCAGCCCGCCCATGAGTGATCGGGGATAGTAACACGGGAGCCAGTCCCAGCACCCCGCTCAGGATCCCCTGGCCACCTCACTCCCCCAGTTGCTCACTCACCACAGCAGCGCCCAGATCCCTGACACAATGGAGTGGGCGAAGGAAACGAGAAGGTTGTGCCAGCGCCAGGTGCGCAGGGGGTCGGCGCTCACGTGCGCGGGCAGTGGCAGGCGACAGAGCGCGCGCCGGAGCGCCCGAAAGGTCAGCGTGGCGCCCAGGAGCAGCGGCAGGGCGGGGTGCAGCAGTGGGGGCATGCTGGCCCTCCCTGCCTTCTGTCTGTCCGCCCTCTAGGCCGCCTCCTCCGGCTGTTCTGGGAACGGGGCT